CACCCTGATGGCAGAGACTGACAACACCCAAGGCTTGTTATGGTGACAGCTTCTTGATATCAAGGCCAAATGAAAGTATCATGACATTTAATATGTTCCTGAAGACTTGGCTTCGGGAGCCATTTGAGTTTAACAAAAGTCTCAGCATCATAAAAGAAGTCTGCCTCAGTCTGAATGGTGACTGGGTCTGTGGAGAAGAACCTGGAGTGTAGGAAATGAACTTGCATTTGCCAGACTGTGAGGAATGATGGGTGGGAAAAGGGTTCCATCAGTGCCCTAGGCAGGTGGCCTTGTCATTGTCAGCCAGAAATGGATGCTCCTGATGCTGTTCCTGCCCTGCAAGAGTGACATGGTTCCCTGTTCTAGGAGACTGGGAAAGTCCAGAGCTGTTTATTTCCCTCAGGGGGAAAAGGTTCTGCAGCTGCCACAAGAGGCTCAGGGCGGTGCATGGGTCACCTTCAGCTGACCTGGGACTGGTTGCAGAAGAAAGGGTCCCAGTGGGGATAGCAAAGCGCCTTTCCATCAACAAGGCAGGATGTGCTTTCACTCTACAGAGCTTGACTTGGGATCCAGGCTTTTGCACAGAACACTTTTTGGGCTGTGTGGGCCAGTTAGAGCCCAGCCCCACCCCTGGGTGTCACAGAGGCTGTGTCAGTGTCAGACCACACCAGGAGCATGGGCTGTGGTGTGTCATGCATGTGAGCAGGCACTCTCCAGGTGACAGCTCCATTATGTACAGCTGATCATTGGGAACAGTTGGGTGCTTTCAGCTCTACAAATTGCCTTTCACAGCCTGAGCCCCCAGGTGAAATGCAGATAAGCAAACCTAATGCCTGAGACAAGGAAAGTCTTATTGGACACCAGATGGTTCATATGCAGATAAATGCATAGGGAAGCATGTGGGATTTCAGTCTGGTGTGGAGGTTTCCACACTGAATAATAGGTTTTGTTTCTCTTGGATCAGTGGTGGGGAAAGAAAGCTGTACCAAGTTTATAAGATCTTCTGGGATGAGCCTCCAAAACACACAGCCAGGCATGGAAGCAGTGCAGGGTCTGCAGCACATCTGCTGGAAATAAAGGTAAACAGATTTTTTATTTGTTGATGTTGCATTATGCACTATTTCATAAATTTGTAAATCTTTGTAAATCTGTGCATTCTGTTTCAGAGAAAACAAAGCCTCTCAGTAAACAAGAGGTGCTTACATTTATGTGCACTGTGTTCCTGGGCTGCCAAACACTTCTCTTGGGAAGCAAGACACTCAGAGTCCTGGTCAGTGTTTTCTTTGGAGGACTGCTGCTGAAATATTTTCAATGAGGTTCTTTCTTTCAATTAGGCATATTTCTTCCACAAAATTTCCAAGGAACAATAATATTTTTTCTCCAAAATATTGGTTATCCAGAAACAAAGTACTCCAGCTAGACCTCAAACTAATTAGTAAATTCTGCAGTGCTGCCTCCCTGTAGTTCTAATTCAGTTAATGTTTATCATTTCCCTCTATGAGCCAAGTTCTCTGCATATGCCATAATTCACACAGAAATGGTAATTCTGACTCAGAAGAGATGACACCTCTTGACACAGATGAGATCTTGGGGCATTTGGGGTGAGCTTCAGTGTATAGATTAATGGAAGTATAAGACACATTAAGCAATGATTGAAGTTTGGTTGTGATGTAATTGAAGTTTTCTTTTGTATTTTGATACCCACTGAATCAAAATTTTACCTGTAGGCCAGAGGTGGGATTTATCTGGGCATTCACAGAGTGAAGTATCCTCTGGATTATTAGACAGTAACATGATGATGACTGTCCTTAAAATCATAAAACTCAGGCCCATAGTAAATTGCTACATCTCAGTAAAACAAAACAACTGCTTCCAGAGGCTGCCAGGCTGTGTTTGTGTTCAAGCTCTCCTCAGGCACAATGAGCCACACACTGCTGCAGAGTGCAGGTGGAAGGAGCAGAAGGTAAGAACTGCAAGGGCTGCCCTGAGAGCCAACACACAGGGTGATACATTCCTCTATAAAGATGTGGTGGTTCCCAAGATGTTGAGTTTTCAGTGCAGTTGTAGGAACCAGATTGGAGGGCAGTAACCTGTCTGTTTTCTTTCTCCTAATCCTGTTGTGTGCATAATAAACAGTTTTATCTTCTCCCTTCTTGAAAGTCTTTCTGTATCCACCAGCCAACACAACAGATAATAATGGGGACAGTGTCATCTTTCTGTCACCTCATGAAAATATTTTTCATTCCCATGATACAGACCATCAAACTACATAGGATAATCATATTCTTAGTTGCCTGATGCAAAAGGTGATGCTTTAATATCTTATTATGATATTGGATATTAATTTCCTTCTACTCAAAAGCAAAGATGAAAGATCCTGTCACTAATGGACTAATACTTAATTTTTTAAAATTTACTTTGGAAACTGTTTGCATTACATACAAGTCAAGCCAAAAATGAGACTGTTGGATTTTTCCTTGCCAAAGCAGATTTACCATTCAACTCTTGTAATGAGAAGTTTTATTCAACTGTTTATAGAGCAGTTGCTGACTATAAGGTATCCATGACATTTATATTACCTAGTCGAATATTTCTTATAGGTGCATGCTGGAAACTGCTCACATAAAAAAAGCATGAGGGTAATTTGGCTCCAGCTGTCACTGAGCCAAGAGCAGGCCTGCCCACAGCTGCCTGGGTAGGCACACCTTCAGATCCTTGTATAAAATATTCCTCTCCCACTGTCATTCTTGAAAACATACTTTTCCCCTATCACTGTTCATGAATATCAAATAAAAGGTAAAGAAATTGCCCTCAAAGGAAACTCTTCATTTTTATTTAAATGAATACTTAATGAATCTACTTAAGAAGAAATTGCCCCGGGATATTTCTAGAACTATCTGTGAACAGAAACCTGTAAAATTAAAATATTAAATGTTAAACTTTTTATGGAATGGGATAAACCTTTCTTCCTCTTTTAGAGGAATAGAAGTCCTGTGGCAAAGCACACTGCACACAGCTGCTGCTGGTGAGGGGTGATGGTGCACCTGGACAAACTGCCTCCATCAGGACTAACAGGCAAAGCACAGCAGAGAAAGCATGGATTCCTTGGGCCCTTGATTCACCATTTCAGCTTATTTGGGCTGTTTGCCACACCTGACTTGCTGGAGGTGCTGGCCCAGGTCTCAATAAGTGCAGCTGTGCTGAGCAGCAAAAGCTCCTACTTTGCTTCAGTGGGTGAGGTGTCCTATGCTGTTTTCCAATTTAATTTGTAGTAATAGTAGAACCCCTCATGAAATTTCATTCATTAAGCATCTTCCTGCCCCCAAGAAGATATATTACCATTTGAGGCAGAGGGAGGCAAAGACATCTAACATGAGACTTTTGATTCAGAGGATGCCCCTCTAGAAGATGGGCATGAGCCTTCGGCAGATTGCTGTGGTGTTTGCTGGAAAAGGAGAAGTTCAAGAGAAACATCTGCAGAGTAGATCCTGGCAGGGAAGGGGCTGGATGAGGTTCCACTGGTGCTGGAGCATGTGCAGGTGCTCAGAGCTACAGGCTGTGAGCAGCAGTAGTTTAAACAGAAGAAAAAAATGCCTATTGGAGTGAAATATATTGTAGCCATCAGGATCAAAAGCAGAGTTTGCTGATTCCTTAGAATTATCAATAAATAGGTATAAATTAAAAAACAAGATCACCTTCACTGAGCTACACTGTCCTGCACCACTGCTGTTTCTTGTCCTCCCTGAGAGCTGCAGCACTACCAGCACTGTGCAAACACAAATGTTTCCTCAGCCATGCTGGCATGCATGGCACTGCCTTTCTCTGCTGTTTTCTGCTTCAAATCTCTGCTCATTTTCTCACCTCTCTCACCCTGTCATGTTTTCATTAACATGAGATTATTTTTGCTTTGCTTTCCTTCAGCCTTCATATTGGATTTCATTGTAATTTATTTACTGACCTTTTTTTCTACTCTTAATGGTTGTTGTTATTGACTGTATGATACCATAAGAGACTAAACACCTCTGTTTATAAGAGGTGCCCCTCGGGACTTTCCAGGCTTTCTTTTATATCCTGCACTGAAATGCTCTATTTTTGAGATCATTCCTAGACCCTGGAAAATGGTGAAAAAGTCATTATTGATTCCAGAGGGACAGGTCTGATCACTAAAATTAATAAGACTCTAAGGTGAAAATTTTCACAGCTGTAGCTTACTTCAATACCAATCCTCCTTGTGCATCTGAGGATGCAAGCCAAACCACAAGTCAGTAAACAATTAATTGACCTGGTTTTTAAGAGGATATATCAGAGTTAGTAGGCAATGTACTTAGGCAGCTTGAGGCAGAATTGAAGTCTCATATTTTTAATGCTTTGTATATTTATAGGTACTGAACTCTGAAGAAAAATGGTGATCATCATCATTGTACATTCCTGTCAAAAACACAAGTCAGAGAATTTCACTGCACCAATTCAGTTAAAGCACATGTCAGAGAAGCATAAAGAGTTAATGATCCTCACATTTAAAATACACTCTGTATTTACAGTCTGGATTTCACTTCAGCCCCTCACTTTAGGCTCTGTAAATTTCTCTTTTCAACTGTATAAACCTCTGCTCACTTCTCTCAGCACAAGTACTTAGAGAGCGTGACCAGATACTGAAAGCCATAAATTCTATGAATTTTGCAATATTTTGTGAGATGCCTCAGTGTTCCTTTCATTTGCTTTTTCTTTTTTTAACTATAAATAGAGCCTTCTTTCTGCAACCAGTCTCCAAAGGTCACCTTACAATGTTTTGCTATTTCCCATATTAAGCAGCAATGCTTTTCAGCTGACATTCCAACTTCAAGTCATGCATGTGAGCATGATGTGAGCTTGCTTCAGACCTCAGTGAGAGGGCTGCAAACAAGACTGCTGTATAATTGCCGAGGAAAATAACATCCATTGTCAAAAGGGGCACTTAATCAAACAAAATTTAGCTGCATGAATACAAGTGTCTCCAAATATTTGGTTCATGCTAAAAATATAGCACATTTATTAAAAATATATATTTATAAACATTGGTATGAACAGACACAGATGTTAAGCAAATGAGAAAGGAAAAATAACCATGTAATGTATTTCTCCCAACATTTTATCAGGTTTAGGCAGACCTTGCTCAACAGAATTGTTTTTTTCATGATTGCACCATATGTTCATTCTAAATAAAAAGCTTGTCAGATTCAATGTAAGTAAAAGCAAAAACCAAGAGAAAAAACCATTTGACCTAACAGACACGTGATCTGTGCTATGAAGCTATCTTTGAGTTCAATCTTTGCGGGTATACAGCATACATTTCTAACATTTCTAATTATATATAGTTTACAGTTTCTTTCTTTTCCTTTTTTTTTTTCCTTTCTTGTATTTTATTTTCTTTTCCTTTTTTTTTTTTTTTATTGTTTTAAAACAACATATCCCTGGTGGATTTCTTCAAAGCTACAACTTATATAACTGCAGTCATTCTCCCCCAAACTGAAAATCAAACCGAAAGGGAGAGGGCAGGAAGAAGAGTTAAGCTTATTACTGTGTGAAAAAGTCTTGTTAAATTAATTGTGCTTCAGTCTTCGCTGCCTTCAGGCAGTGCTTTTATGATGTGTTAATATAATACAGAGTCAATTCTGATTAAAGAACTTGTCAATAGTCAGCAATGTTTGTTGTCACTCTTAATGGCCGTTTTATCTGGTCTATTTGCATGCCTTCTAGTTTACAACGTTGTATAAATATACACAAAAATGATCACAATGAGGTTCAGAATTGTCCCAATAATTCCAAGCATTGCCAAGATGGTTTCTTCTTTGCTTTCCTTTTCTTGACTGCCTTTATCTTCTTCATTTCCACTAGTGATTACCATCTTGGTGGCCAGTTTCTTTATCCTTCCCTTCAGAATAACCTGGATTTAGGAACAAAAACATCAAAATGGATTATTAATTGGAGTACAGAAGCTCATATTAATAGTGGAACCAGTGGCAGAATTTTTGCCCCATAACATATTTTATTAAGAATTCATTTGAAAAGAATTAGTATTTCTATTAGCTGTTCAGTAAATAATTAAACTTACAGTTCAGCTATTCTGTGGTTTACTTATAACCCTCTGCTTATGTGCCAGCAACTACTCCTAGCACACATAACAGCTGCTATAATATAATAAAACTGGTCAGAAATGTACCATGAGGTGAGACTCCTCCAGCATCAGGGGGGACTTTGCCTGCACTGGGATCTTGCCATGTGGTGGAGACCCCATATTTACACTTCAGCCAAGAAGCGAGTGAGGGAAATAAAACTGGGAAGACCTTGCTTCTTTTTTTACTAGGAAAAAATCATTAAAGAGAAAGGCATTTTGTCTCCCGATGAGAAGGAAGACAGCAGTGACTTCTTAATAAATAATTCAAAATAAAAGCAAAACCAAAATAACATCCATCTTGGCTTTTATTTTCCTCGTTCTTAATGTATGATGAAAAGTTACTTGCAGTGCAGTGAGCTGAAATGTATCGATCTGCCTGCAGGGAGAATACAGCCATTTCCCAAGCAACAGCCCCAGCCTAAAAAAGGCAGATTCCTCAAATGTGGGACGAGCCTTGACTCCCAGCACAGCTGAAGCCACAAACAAAGAAGCTTCCTTGGTCTTCTCACCATCGGATTGTTCAAATTAGAAATGGATAAATTCCTATCTGTGTTTATCTCACACTGCAAATTTTAATCACATGGGCAAACCAGAGTGTCCCAGAAAACTGAAAAAGGTTGGCTGATCTCCCAATGCCAACTGATCTGCCAAGATCTGGGTTCAGGCAAAGCCCTGCTGCTGTCTTCCAGGCTACAAACCATATCCCATCGTATTTCTGCAGCAGAAAGCAGTGGTAGGATGTAGAAAAAAAAAAATTCCCCAATAGCTGCTGCCTTAAAGAGGGATTTGATTTGGTCCTTTAGTGGACCCTCATTCCTCCCTCCACTCACTCACAGAGCAAAAGCAGTATCTCCCAGGCAGTGCATATATTCAGGAGGGTGAGGGCTCCCCAAAAACTGCCCACCACCTCTGTGGGCACCTCCCCTCCAGCAGGAATCATCAGAGAGGAGCCCTGACCTGCAGCTCCTCTGAGCTGCTCCTGCACTGCACAGCCACAGAGCAGCAGCCGGAGCACTGAAAGGATGGAAAGGACTGGGAGAGGTAAGGAAATCCTGCCATGGAGAGACTGAGAGGAAGAACTGAGTATCCAGACAAAACAACCTGTATTTTTGTCACACCTGCAAGTGGTTCACATATAGGACAGAGAGTAACTGCTGGCAACTTCCTAGAAGTGTTTGATTCCCAGCAGGTACAAGGGATTGGTGGCAAGTCGGGCTCTGCAGAGGCCTTTGTACTGACACTTGCATTAGCATTTATGTGTTTTGTCTTCTTGTGACCAGTAGACCAGAGAAAAAAAAATAAGAAGGAAGTCAGAAACCTGAGAGTACCCACAGCAAAGAGCAGTCAGTGGGAGCAGGGGGCACCAAGAAGAAGGGCATCAACCATCACAGCATCAAACATCAGAGCATGATCATCCAGAAGATGATAACCTGCCTGAGGAAAGCAAAACTTCACAGGCGCCAGGTACCTCACACAGATATGTCTCCAGCCCTCAGAAACTGTCCCCAGAGTTCCTTCTCCAGCTCTTTCTGCAGCACCTACCTCTTCCAGAAGCAGAAGGGTTTTGTCATTTTTGCCCTAGCTGGTGTCCAGAGGAGGGTTTGGCTGCACCTGGTGCATGTCCTTCCTGTCTTGTTAATTGCCACTGAGCAATCTTAACAAACAACTTGTCTCTGGGAAATCACAGGAGAGTTCCTACCAGTGCCATTTTCACACACGTCACAACCTGAGTGCATCCACTCCATGTGCCATCGGACCACAAACCCGCATCCCAGGCTAGGACATGCAGCCATTACTTCACTCACAGAGCCATGAGTCATCTGGATATTCTGTTCTTTTCCCCTTCAGTAACTGGAAGGTTTTCCCTCTGGCCAACTGTTTGCATTTCACTGTTTATTTGAGAAATCAAGGAGGATTAAAAATATGGTCGGATAAAATCCTTGGCCTAGAATGGAAGGATTTGAGGGGAGAGTGAAGTTCTTTCTGGCTGGTTCCCACAAGAGCTGAACACTCTTGATTCAGCACACTGTTTCCCACAGAAATATGATCATACCCAAGCATTTTGTGGGTCAAGCCTCTGGCTTGAAAAAAGCCAGAGAAGGTACAATTTGACTCTGCATCCTGTGCTTTGGGCAGTTTCCCATTTACACCAAAAAACCCGCAGAAAGTGAGGCAGAGCCCCAGCTCTCAAGAGGCAGCTTGACTCTGCAGCCACTGGCACTCTTAATTTTGGTTCAGTGACCCTGCACCACATGTGCTAGGAAATCCTGACTCCAGGATTAGTGTGAACAGAGGCAGCATGGGGCTCAGACAGCATCTGATCTCCTATTATTAACATTCCCATTCTTTTCTTAATAAACTGCAGCAAGAAGTCAATATCAAATTCTCTCCTGCAGAACGCTAGATCCTAAAATTAACATCCATCTAAAATGTAGCTAAATAATTCACACATGAAGGAGACATATCAAAGGCTGTTAGATATAAAGACAAAGCCTCTGGCTTAGCAAATCCTTGAGTTGTGAATTTTTTGTAAGCTATGAAATTATTCTGGGGAAGTACCACCACACCTTTGCCTTATTATTAAAGTCTCTCCCAGGCACCCATTACTGGCTAATGAGAAAGGCAGAGATCCTTGGGCTGCACAATCTCTCATCTGAGGCTGCACAATCACGTTTTTCCTCTTTGCAAGTTGTACTTATTAGCAAGGAGATAGTGGGTGGTTTCAGTTCAGGTGACATGGATCAGACTGCCAGGTTATTTCTGTCCCACTAAGAGGCCTTACCTGAGGGAGAAGTGCTCAGTGTGATGCAACAAAATATTCACAGAGAAGCTGGTGGCTGAAACACGATAAACAACAAGGGGGCATCAGCAGCTGAGAGTTTGCAGAGGGGCTGATGCACAGTGTGATTTGTTGGAGGTTGTCTCTATGTGCCTGTGTGCTGTATTTGGATCACACTATGGTGCATCCTGGGACTGCATAAACTGCATCTTTTTTGGACAAAACTACACCCAAAAAAGTGCTTTCAGCCCATGGGAGTAGGGATCCAGACAAAAGCTGGTGTGAAGTATAACCCCCAGAAAACACACAGTGTGGGCACTGGCAGCACGGGTTTCCCTGGAGGGATTGCTCCAGCAGGTCTGCACTGCTCTCCATTTTATACAGCACCTAAGCAACAAGAGGCAGCACACAAAGGCTTGGTCTTAAGAGGAGTTTATCATTCAAACAGGACATGACTGGGACCAAACACAATTGTATTAATACTTTGCCAAATATAGCACTGTTGAAATCAAGGTAAGCGTTGACTTTGTACAGTGAGGAGAGCAGAATGAAAATTACTTCTCCATATGTAAGGACTGACCTTGGGAGAAGAGTAGCACTCTCCTAATGGCAGACTCAAGCCTTTAACCTTCACAGGTCTCATGCTCAGAGTGATATTTTTGCTGGCTGAGGCTTGTGGGTGTTTTTTTCTACTGGGGAAATACTTGCTGTCAGTTTTAGTATAATTACCCCAATTAAGAAAATAGAAAAGTCATCTGGCTTTCTGGGTATCTTTTCTCAGTCTTTATTATTCTCTTCTAGAAATGAATTTCATTTATTTGACATTATTTAATATTTTTATGATTCTTATGACACATTTTTCCTTTTGTATTTTTCTGGTGGTACTTCAAGCTTGACAGAAACATTCCTTTTCCTTACCCAGAACCACGGCTAGAACTGCTCAGATAGGAGGGCTAGAGAACACTAAATTTACCATTTCTTTTAATAACTATCCTTCTTATTTAATTGCTATCTCATTAGGAAAGCACTTTCCTGCCACATCAAAATTAATGTCTTTCCTACTTCATTTTGTAAGATTCATCATTAACCCAACATCAGCCTTGGTACGGATACATATTCCAAAAAGCTATCCATTAAAAGATAAATATTCTGTGTATTCTGCACTGCACATGGGAGACAAGGACAGTTCAGTGGTTAGGACATTCATTGCACTATTCATCTCCTTGCACTTCTGCTGGCTTCATTCCTTATATCTACAGGAAATCCACTTATTCTCTCTGCCTCAGTTTTTCATCTGTGGGATTCTTTGAAGAATGGGTTATTCAACCTACAGCAGAAAATGGTTCATAAAAAAGGTGGGGCCTTGCAAATATTTTGTTTCCAAATTAATTCCAAAACAGGAACACACTAACATGAAAAGTTTTACGTCCAGCTGTGCTATGAAATACACCCACTACCATCTCCCCAAATCTGGGGAACATTCTGCACATCACTCCCATTGCAAATAATCCAGTGAACCAGGAAAAGCATTTCTAGCAAAAGATCCTTTTGCATCTCTTCACCCAGCATGACTGATCTAAAGGTGATGGCTTGATGGCAGGGCTTTGGAAAAGGCAGTAGCAAGTGCATGTTTGAGAATTTACTGCAGTGTGTTTGTCACATCAAACATACAAAGCACATCCCTCACAAAGCACCTGCTCTGATATATCTGACAGTTTTTGAATATTCTGGCACCTTGACTTGATCTTGAAAAACTTTTGTAATATTAAATCATTTCTCCTCTAAGTCATTATTTATAAGCTCCCCAAAGAGGCTGCAAGTGGAGGGCTCAGCCAGCAGAATCTGAGCTCCTGGGAACTCAGAAAAGGGGAGGATCATCCAGGCCCTCAGTGCTCCTTCTGATCAGCCCTGTGCTGTCATGTATTATCTGGCACCTTGAAAAACAAGAATGGAAACTTCTGAAAACCTCCCAGGGTCAGATGCTCAGCTG